CTGCCGGCCGCGGGCGCCGCGCTGCTCTCGCACTCCGCCTTCTGGGACCCCACGGTCAGCGGCGACTGGGACGGCGAGCGGCCGAGCGCGGCCTGCCTGCTCCGCATCAAGCGGTGGGTGACGCTGCAGCCCCCGCCCCGGACAGCCCCTCCGGCCTCCGCGCAGCCGGCCGCCTCTCGGGGGAAGGGGTGGCCTGGCTCCGGCTCCGGCTGCCCTCCCGGAGCGTCCTCCCCTGCGGGAGCCGGGCCCGGCCCCTGGGTGCAGCCTCCCCCCAACAACCCTGCCGGGCCTGCTCTTCCCCGCAGCGCTTCGAGGCCAAGGCACCTGCTCCAGTGTTGCGGCTGGGTCTTGGGCTGCATGTGTTGGGGAGGTCGTTTGCCCTGCGTGGGGAGGAGGGCTAATACCCACCTCCCCCTGCCCAGCACGTGTCCTCCTTGTGTTGTCCTGGACTCTGCCCTGAAGCTGCCACTTGAGTCATGTCCCAGGGCCCTGGGTGTGTCTGTTAACCCATAACCTTTCCCAGGACAGCCTGGCTCTTTGCCTTAGTATTCTTAACCCCGGCCAACCCTGCTGGCAAAGACGGCAGCCTCTCCAGGCTCGGGCAGATTCGCCTGCATTCAGGCGCTTGCCGTGTCTCTGCGCTCTGTATTTCCTCTGGCCTCATTGACAGTCGACTTTCCTTGGTTCCCTGCTGGTGCTCTAGAGCCGGCATACTAATGCTACTTTCTATTTATAAAGCACTTTGCATCCGGAAGGCTCGCTAAGCGCTTTGCAAGCTGTACGACTGTGGCTGAGGGTGTACCTACCTCTAGGGCAAGGCAGCTGTTTTGCAGGCAGTGATGCTGTGCGCCGCGGGAAGAAAAGTATCCCTTATCAACTTGAAATGTCTGTGGAAATGTAATAAACTGTGCTGTTCTCTTCCTGGAGTTTGGCCAAGCGCACTGGGGTCAGCAATTTCTAGCAAAACTCCCCCACCGGTTACTGCAGCAACCACACTTCTTTCAGATGAAGGAAGGATTAATAGACGATCTTGTGCCCTCTCCACCTGGTTTAACCCGTCTCATTGCTACCAGTGATTCAGAATTATTATTACTATTTTTTTTTTTTTGCTGCCTGGAGTAATGCTAACTTTCCTCCTCCCTTCTGGAAAAATTTCAATGTCCTTCATGGATGCAGGGTTTCACAACTGGGCACCTGTGGTTTACAGGTGCATGATAGCCAGGCAAGGTGACTGATCAGAGGTTAATGGTGGTGCTGACACAAAGGAGCAGTTCTGGTCTCGACTGTTGTGTGTTTTGACTTGGAGCTCTTTCCCTGCATGACCAAAAACTGCTGCTTTTCTGCTCCTCATTTATCTACGCAACAGCTGTTTATCAATTCAAAATCCAGCACCAATACAATTTGGGAGCTTTGGGTTAAAATGTCAGAGGCAGAAGGGTGTGGGGAGAGTTTTCTCTCTTGTTCCCAGTCGAGAGGCTGACTGAACTTTATAAGGTATTAGAACTTCGCCCATCCCTACCCTTGTTCTTTCATTTCCTGCCTAGAGCCTATTATACTTGGGCTGCTCCCCGTCTAACTGCAATGTTAGAGGCTACACACACACAAAAATTGTTAACAGTAGATCTGACATGCTGATAACCTCCAGAATAACGAGCAATTATGCTCTTACATTGTTAGAAATCCTGGCATTGTTTCAATAGGTTTCTCCTTTGCTCTCATCACAAATATTGCCGCTTGCCAGATTAGGTGAGCATCCATGTTCTACCACCTCTGAGACCTCTGTTTACCTTCTTCAGAATGTGATACAAAGTCTCTGGGTGGTTTCTGATCCAAGTGACTGAAAGCACTGGCTTTGCAGGAAAACAAGGTTCTTCCCTCACTTCCTAACTGTCTCACCCACTCATTCTTACTAATGAAACTCCAGCTAAACTCAATTCTCTTTACAAACAGGAAGGCTGTTTTAAAAAATAAAACAAAAACTTCACCAGTAGTTTGATTTGACTCTCGTTGACACTGGGAGGAGCTCTTTGGCTGTGACCATGCTTGCACTCCATCTCTGTTCCTAAGCTGCACTGAATCGTATCTGATTACAGCTCTATTTTTTAATATAGGGAGAGCCTGTGAGCAGGCTGTATCTTGCACAGTTATTCTTTCAAGTAGGCAGGAAGAGTTCAGCTGGAAAACAGTGAAACAGCACAACCCCCTGCCCCCTTTCCCCACAGTCCATTTTCAGTGTTTCCTTTTAAAAATACTTCTGATGTATTATGCTGTGGTGGCATGTGTTTTCTCTCTCTCATACATGTACACAGACACACAAGTCCTTTTCTATAATGAATGTTATTTTCCTAGGAGTGAGAGGGATGCTGAGGGAGGTATTGGCTAATTCCTGTTTCCTTGTGTTCAGGGATATCATGTCCATTTATAAGGAGCCACCCCCTGGAATGTTCGTTGTGCCTGATCCCCATGATATGACTAAGGTAAGTGAATATCCAGAGCTAATCCAGCTTCTCTGCGTTTCTGTTTTTTTGATGGTTAAGTATTAGCAGGATGAGCTATTGGGCAGGAGCTGGGGCTGTGGATTGCAGTGCGTCCTCACTAGAGTACCTTTGTAAAAGAATAGATGAAATTCTGCAGGGGAAAATGGGAAGGCTTTTTTTTGGAAATAAGAGGGAGGCTAGCAAAGAACCTGACTTTGTGAAGGGATAAAGCCACAGGACTCTAAGCAGCTTCTGCAGCTAAATCCAGCACAGGCTTGGTGGCCATAGGGATGGTAAAGCACCACTCCAGCTGGCTTTATCCTGTCAGCACTTGAAAATTATCACTAGAATGTTTGTGCATGGAAGTTCAATATCTGTTGGAGCAGCAGATGACTCTGCTCAAAGCTGGAGGATGAAGACCTCTGTTCTAACGGTCAGGGAATGTTACATGACCCTATTTGGGAGAGATGCCTCTTTCTTCCCCCCCCCTCTCCCATTCCCCCCTCCTTAGCATAGTCAGGGCGCCTGCACTCTTTCTGAAAGAACTTTAAATTGACAACTGATGTGGGCATGATTTCCCCAGGCTGAGGCAGGAAGATGCATTTTGCGTGGTTCCCTGTTCCCCAGTTAAGGTATTCTTCCTGAGGGAGGGCAGGCAGTCATTTGTGAATGCCAGACCATAGGGGTTTTGCCAAGGAGGACTGCCTCAAGTAGTTGCAAGGACTCCTGAGCAGCCTATAGATCTAGTGTATCCCCAGCTTTCTCTGACCATGCTCAACCTTTGGTTTGCACCAGCTTTTGGAGGTTGGGGCCTGTTGGTGAAGACGTTCCCCCCCCCTTTCCTCTGTTGCCACCCATTTTTCCCACCTTCCCAACTAACCTGCCACTCGTGATTCCACCAGTTCAAACTTTTGCCTGAATTCAGGACCTTTGAGCTTTAAAGAGGTGCTACAAGGGAATGTTCCTTTGGAGAAAATTCCAGCCTGAAAGAATAGTTCAACCTTTTAATTAGCTCTTTGGCCTAAGAAGTTGGCAGCCATAAATTCACCTAAGACCACGTCATCACAGACAGTGCCCTGAAACATCTCAGGGGTGACATGTGACTAAAAATCCCAGTGATCCAGGTGGTCATATGTGATAAAGCACAGGAAGGAGTCTTGTACAGCTAATAGCCCAACAGATTGTGCACATCAGGGATATTCAGGTGCCACTTTTGTGGAGTCTAGACAGTGATCAGGAGCTGATCACTCCTGTTCAGTTTCATTGAGTACAAATTAGCAGAGTATTGGCCAACCAAGAAAAATCCTCTTTTGGTTAGAAGTACAGGAAGTACATGAAGGGGGTGCAGTGGAATCAGTGAAAGGTTGCGACTATTTTTTTCTTTAACTCTTTAAAATCGGAGCTCCTGTGACAAATGTTGCTTCATTTGTGCTTGTTTATGCAGGTGTGCCCAAAAGTGCATGCAGGTGTTGCTGTACAGGCATGCACTATACAAATGCGTGGCTATTGGGGGAGAGATGTGCAGCAGTAGCTTAGACTCCAGGAGTTTTGCATGAGGTGTGGGGGTAGCAGCCTGTGAGCATGGCACTGGCAGGAGAGGCCTTGTTAGCTCTGCCCATGCTGAGATTTCTCATCTTTGTCGGGTCTTGTTCGAGAAGTTGACGGTGCTGCACAATTTTGAAGTGGTGCGCAAGATGGGCTTTTGTTTTCCAGATTCATGCATTGATCACAGGCCCATTTGACACGCCTTATGAAGGGGGTTTCTTCTTGTTCCTGTTTCGCTGTCCTCCAGATTATCCCATCCACCCACCAAGGGTCAAACTGATGACAACAGGAAATAACACAGTGAGGTTTAACCCCAACTTCTACCGCAATGGGAAAGTCTGCCTGAGTATTCTGGGGTAAGAGGAGACTTCCAGTATATCGAGGTGAAACTGAGAGGTTGCTACAGGCTGTTTGTTTTTGTAACATGCATTGTTCTTTGCATGTTCTAGGCCCCAATTCTGTTGCTGCATCTGTCCATGCAGCCTCTTGCTTGCAGTCACCTGTGGGACACACAAGCTGCCAAAAAAATCTTAGGTTTTTGCTAATGAGATGGTCTGATTTTCTTCAAAACCACAAAAATCAGGATATGGAGAGTGAAGGCGGAAACTCAGAGCTCCTTTCTTTGAGACTGGCTGTCACTGCTTTTGTCCCATCTCCCCCTGGTGCACTGAAGGTCTCAGTCTGAACTCTGCAATTCTTCTGCTTTTATGACTTGAATTATGTCCCTCAGTGTTGCTCAGATGTATGTTTCTTGTGGTTTTAATTTCCTCTGTGTGCATGTTGGTTTTTAAATGGACATTAAAAGCCACTAAGCACTTCCTTGAAAGCCGTATAACTGCTTCCACCTGCACTCAGAGATAATGATGTAGAGCTCACAGCTGTAGTACTGTGTCTTACATCCAGGCTCCCACACTGCAAACACTAAAGCAGCACCTATTTGGTTTTAAGACCAGGACAGTCCCCATGGCACCAATGGGACTGGTGTACTTAAAGAATATCTGTGCCTGCAGGATTAGGGTGCAGTATCTTCCCTGTTCAGAAGCACTATTAGTAAAAAGGCCTGATTTTGAGTGGTGCCAGGCACCAGCAACTTAGAGTGAAATGAATGCAAGTTGTAGGAGTCTCGTCTCCAAGTGTGGCAAGGGTAAAATAGTGGTTAAGGCAAGGGAGACTCTTGACATGGAGGGTGGAGATGGGTTCTCATCTTGCTGGTGAGCATGGTGAGAAGATGGTTTGAACATGTGGGAAATCACATTAGAGGGTACCAAACTGAAAGCAGGGAGCTGTAAAGGGAAAGTGTTTGGGGAGCAGTGCCAGGTGCATTCTCTTTTTGAAACACTGCTGCTTCAGCTGGGGGAAAGGTCTGTAGCAAACCATTCATGGCTGCTGGGAGACTGCTAAATTTTTTCCAATAGTGTCCTGCCTTAGGGGTAGGCTATATATGGAGTAGGGACACACTGTGTGTGCCTACATGTCGCCTTATGTCATTGTAGTGATGTGCTGCGGCATCATAGCAGTTACATAAGTCTACACATGACCAGCAGCTACTTTGACATAGCAGCATGCTCCCCTATTTTAGCATCCAGCTACAGCGAAGTAGTGGCTAAGACTAACCATGCCCTGTGTGTACTGTTCAGTATGGGTGTACAAAAGGAAAGTACTATAGCACGGTGCACTAACAGTGTTGCCATAGGACAACATGTAGATATGCCTGCAGTGTGTCAGTTGAAATTTTCAGTTGTAAGCCTACTGTTGAACAAGTCATAAAAGTATCACCATCAAAGCCAACAAGTCACTTAAACTTGAAAGTCAGGTTTAAGCCTAAAAATAATTATTTTGGCCTCTCCCATGGAGAGGGAAATTCCTTTTATTTTGGGGTCTTCTCTGAGCCAGTGCCAAAGCCAGGTAAGATGCGTTATTATTATTTTAGTCTCTTAAAGAACCTGGGCCCTTGACTCTGATGTGTCTTGCTTTTCCTGAGCTCTCTTTTGTCTCTAAGGGACTTGACCTACTGTCAGCAAAACGACACCAAAGTTTCAGATACAGGTTCAGAGCTGGGCAAGAAGAAACACACTAGGTCCAACCCATGAACATACAGCTTGTTATAGGCCAACCAGAGCTCTTGGTAGGTTTTGTTCATTGGCATATTTTTCCCTTAGCAGGTGTCTACACCTGATGGTTTTCCAATTTCCAAACTTGGCCTTTGTATGATTCACTATGGTGACTATGAAAAGGACTGGGTGGCAGGGGGTGGATGCTGTATGATGTTTTTGCTGTGGTATTTAAATAATGCTTCTGTGTTTTGATGTCTCAGCACTTGGACTGGACCTGCTTGGAGCCCAGCACAGAGCATCTCTTCAGTGCTCATCTCCATACAGTCTTTGATGACTGAGAACCCCTATCACAATGAACCTGGCTTCGAGCAGGTAATGGCTTTGAGTGCAAAATAACACAAGACCAAATTTTCAGAGACAGGGCAGTATCTTTTATTGGATAAACTGTATAGGTGGGAGGGAGCCCCAACAAGCTTTTGGGCAGGAAATGTCAGTGTCTCAACTATGCTTGTATTTACTCACAAATCTTGTTTGTGGCTGAAGAATACTGTATTTTCTCACATACCCCACACCCCCAAATAAGATGCATGCCTTATTTTTGGAGGGCAGAATGTAGGAATTTCTTTTTCTTCCAGAATCATGGACTAGAACTGGCTCTTTCATGAAGACACTATGCTTTAAGATGGCTGCCAGCTTCTGTCCCTGCTGGCAAGCAGGAGAGGTGCAGTCCAGTGTTAATCCTTCCACAGCTGCTCTCAAATTGGAAGCAGTCCAAAAATTGGTTCCAATCTGAGTGACTGTGAAAGAGTTAATACTGTACTGTGCCCCTCCTGCTTGCTGGCAGGGAGGGAGAAGCTGGCAGCTATTTTGAAGGACGGTGCTTTTACTCCTTGATGCTTTTACTTTGGCAAAAAGCAGCTTCTCTTCAGTTTTGGAAAGCTGATTGTTAGGAAAAGGGTACATGTAGTACGCAACTAAATAAGGTATTTGATGCAGAAAAGGAGGGGTATCTAGTTGAGTTGCAGATTGAGAAATGTCCTGCTTTTTGTTCCATGGTCTGCTACTGACCTGTTGCAACCATGGGAAATCTGTCAACAGCTCTGTATAGTAGAACTTGAGATAGTTTGCAAGTTTAGGTTCCTTAGCCCCTTGCAAAGATGAGGGTTTGTGAACTATCCAGGGGTATTTGGTGCTGTAGCAAACAGCCATGCTGGTCAACTTAGGTGCTCCAGCTGTTTGCTCTGGATTTTACTTTGAAGGGTGCTGCTTCTTCCATCAGCTGGAACTCAGTGACAGTCCCACCCAGTGGATCAGAGAAGTGATACCTTTTGAATTATGAGCCACAGTAATCAGTTGAGCAGCTCATCCTTAATGAGGAAGTCCACTGCAAACATCCAGGCTTTACTGTACAACATTGTCTACCTTTGCAGAAATGGGGCAGACAAACAAGTGCTCAGTCTCCTATGAGATCCTGAGAAGGAGCAGCTTGTCAGCCCTAATGGTCTCCTTGCTTAACTGTAGAGTGTGTTTTAAAGTATTCACACTCACGCCATTGAGTCAGTTCTTTAAATCTGAGGAAGCTTGCATCCTAAGTATGCAAATGAGCAAAATGCAGAGAAGTTCTCTGTCTCTGCAGATCACTGCTGTGTGACTTCTGAAAGTTAATGGCTTCCTTAGGATATACTACTGTCATCTAGCAGTGCACCAATAAAGATTTTTGGGGCCAATACCAATAGCCGATTTTTAAGGAGGCATATCGGCCAATGTTGGAAATTGGATCGGTACCAGCCTGGCAGCTTGAACAGCTGCGCGCAGCTGCTAAGTCTGTTGTGGTGGAAGGGGTGTGCTGGGAAGGCTGATCAAGGCCCCTGTAGTGAGGGAGGAGTGGGGCTGGGTCAAGCACTGCCCAGCTGGGGCAGGGCAGGCATGAGATGGAGCTGTGGTTCATCATGGGGGGGAGAAGGGGGGTCAGGTGGCTCCCACTGCTGTGTGCCACTTGTCCAGTGGCTCCTGCTGTTTGTCCCGGAGGGCATGGGTGGGTGTGATGTGCCCCTGGATTTGAGCAAGGCAGGGTAAGCTCTTTCCGGTGTGTGGGGACTGTGCTTGGGATGGGCAGCAGTGGCACTGGGAGGGGGAGATGGAGGGGGCTACAGTGAATTTTGGGATGACTGTAGCCCCTGTCCCATAGCCCCCCTTCAAGTGCTGCCGCCACCCACCCTGAGCACAGCCCCCACATGCTGGAAAGAACCCATCCCACCCCGCACAGATCCAGGAGCACATGCCCCACCATGCCCTCCCAGATGAGTGATGGGAGCAGCAGCAGGAGCCACCAGATGAGCGGCTCCCAGATGAGTGGTGCAAGCTGTCCCCATGCTCCCTCCCCCTAGATGAGCTGTGGTTCCGTCCCATACCTGCCCCACCCTGGCTGGGCAGCCCCTGCCCCAGCCCCATTCACTGTGGGGGCCTTGATCTGCCCCCCCACACCCCTTCCCTCACCTTCCACCACACCAGTCTTACCAGCTGGACACAGCTCTCTAAGCTGCTGGGCTGTGCTCCTCATCACCTACATGCTACGCTGCAGCTGCATGCATGCACAGGTCATTTATCAGCCGAATTATTGGCTGTAGCAAGCCAATTTCTGATGCAGACAATTTTCTTTATAGCGGTGCCAATTTGATATTGGATGGATGTATTGGTCCACCTCTACTGTCATGCCTGAACCAAATGCCCAGGTCGTCCTTGTTGTCAGGGCCCTGAAAGGGGAAAATGAGGAGCCAGATTGCTGTGCTGACTGCCATAGACTTGTCCTGTCTTGTGGCTGCCCGAGTCCAGTATTGTGGGCATAAAGGAAATCTTTTTGCAGCTTTCCAGCCCCAGCATAAATGAGCTGACTGTACCTCAAGCAGGCAGAGCTAAGGAGGGTTTGCTGCTTGGTGAAATTCACATGGTTTAGGAGAGAAGGGAGAAGGCCATTCATGTAGCATAGGTTCAAAGGAGTGATTTTTATATTTGCAGGAGAGGCACCCTGGAGATAGCAAAAATTATAACGAATGCATTCGGCATGAGACCATCCGAGTAGCTGTGTGCGACATGCTGGAAGGAAAGTGCCTTTGTCCTGAGCCTTTACGGTAGGTAATGGGGATGGGAGCTCCACCTCAGCCTGAAGGTCTTAGTCTGTCTTCACTTAAAGCATCCTGTGCACTTGCTGAGATACTTGTGTGGGGCTGAATCCTTTGGGAAGTCAGTATGATAGTGTTCCTTGTACTCAGACCTGTTGTCATTCCTGAGGGTCCAGTCCTAGCCCTACCAATGCCTTGCTACATTACCTGGTGCTGGTCACTTAATCTCCCCTGTCCTGGTTTCCAGTGTCATTTCCTCATCTCCCAAGGGTAGGTGACTAACCATATCCTGCTCTAAAGATGGCTGTCAGCTCTAATATTCATATAGCAACTTGGTTTCCTCTGAAGTGGTTCATCTCATTGGTCATCTGGTGAGTTCAGTGACCTCTTTCTCTCTTGATAGTCTTGTTACCAATGCTGTGTCCCTTAATCAGAATATGGATACAAGTGAATTCAAACTTTTTGACACCTAAGGTTGCTCTGAGCAGTGAAATAGTTACTGTGGCTGACAGGGCAGACCTGGACTTGGATGGATCATCCATGCACATTTTTAAGGCATGTGGGCTGTTGTGGATTTCATAAACCCTAAGTTTGCTTAATGGAGGCATACGTGCCCACAGGGTAATGAGCCCATTTCTGTAATGCACAGTCTGGCAGGACTTAACCATGTGCTCTTCTGTTGTGTTCCAGGGGAGTAATGGAGAAGTCCTTCATGGAGTACTATGACTTCTATGAAGGAGTGTGCAAAGAAAGGCTTTACCTCCAAGGACAAACAATGCAGGTAATTATTATTCTCTCCAGACGTGTGCTCTGATTACATAGCACCCATGAGACATTCCAGTGGGTATTACCGCACTGTCCTTCTCTTTAACATGTATCTTCTTGATTTAAATAAATGCTGGTTAGCCTCATCAGAGAGAGTGTTTCTTCCAAGAACTAGAAGTCAGAGAAGATGCACGAGCTGAAATGCAATAGGATTTTCTCTTCTGGTGTGTTCCTTCACTCATCCTTGAATAGAAAACTGATGCCAGCTGCTTGTTCAGCACTTGTGTTCTGATACAGCTGTTCCTATCTATAATTTAGTTAGCTGGTATCTTTCTGTTGGCTTTAGCTGTGCTGGTAATTTCATAGGAAATCATACAAGTCCTGGGACACTCCTAATTCCACAGAGCATGTTTCTTTGCTAGTGGTAATGTGCAATGCAATCCTTCTGAATCTAAGGGGCAGAGGGAGTTCCTGATTAGTCATCAAAACTGATTTACTTCTTAAAATTATACAATTATCCTTGTATGTAAAAATTAAAATTACAAGAATAAATCAGTGATAACAATACACATGTAAAATCAAAGATACTTTGCCAGAACCCAGTCTTGCTGCCTTCCATATCCATTGACTTTATGGACCCTGTACAACACTGTCTAGGTTGCCGAGCTTATTCTAGCAGTGAGTCACCCACTAAGAAAAATTCTGCTTTTCACTGTTACCACTTGCCAAGATTTTTACATCTGAACAGAAGACTCATCCTTCTAATCAGCTGCCTCCTGTCTTGACTCATTAAGACCTGCTACCACTGTGAAAGAGAGGAAGTTATTTTACAAACCAGTATCTACACGTGCCCTTTATTCTGTCAGTATTTGGCTCTACAATCAGTGCAATTAATGCACCCACAATGTATGACTAAAGCAAAAGAGCTTTTGTTTAGACTGATAAGCTCTATGAAGTAAGATTGTGCCTGACTTGCACGCCCACAGGAATCTTTGGCAGAGTGTCTAGAGGCTGTACTGTAAAACCACATAACCGGAAGGGAGTATTATGGGGTGGCACCAGTCACTTTTACAATTGCTCTCTCTGCAAGGAGAAGGAATTCTGTATGGTTATAATTTATTATTATTATCTTCAGGAGAAGAAAAAAGCAAGAGTTAAACCTCCATTGCCTGCCTCTCTGCCACTGAGCAGCTGTGCGGCCACAAACTAATTGGATTATACCTGTGTCTTAGCTACACCATCTGTAAAATGAGGATAATAATTCCTTCCCTTCTCAAGAATATAATCGACTAAAGAGGCATTGTATGTTTGGTCCTTGGTCTCTCCTACTGAAATAGTAGCTCATAGTGTGTCTACCCTGGCAATGGGTCTGAAACTAGTCCTTGGACTGATTCATATGCAGCCAGTGTTCCATCAGCTCTTCCTTCCTCAGGCTAAGATCCAGGCAAGTTTTATTTACATGAGGGCTTTCACTTGAGAGCTTTTGAAAGAGACAAGGTTCCATTAATGCCATGTTGATGTTGAAGAGTCCATAGCATTCCTGGTAATCATCGAGGATTTCATCTTTAGCTTTGACCAGCTTTCTACCATAAAGTTCTCTCTCCTTGGATTTCATAACACCTGTAAAGCACTAACATGTTGATGTGTGTTTTAAATGGCTTTACCGTGTCTTTGAATTCAGGATCCTTTTGGTGAGAAACGAGGCCACTTTGACTACCAATCCCTCTTAATCCGTTTGCAAGGAATTCGGCTGAAAGTGCAAGAGAAACACCAGCAGGAGAATGCAGAAATAGACTCTGAGAGCAGCTCCTCCGAGACAGAGACAGATGCTCATGGGTGCTCCAAGGCTTAGAGCTCTGTAGATAATTGAGAAACCCAGACCTGGAGATGTTCAGTCTTCAAACTCTAGGATACACCCGACAGACTTGAACCAAACCAATCCTGGAGTGGACAGAACTGAGGGAGCTCGTCAGTTTCCTTTTGAACACTCTGATGGATACAGTTGAAAGAGAAGACTTCATGCTAGACAAAGCCAAGCTTGAGACAGGCTACTTTTAAAGGTACTTACTATGCTAGAAAGCTGGAGCATGTGGCATCAGGTTATTTTTGGAAACTCCTACACTGGGTTGTTTTTTGTTTTCTTTACTCAATTAAAAGAAAGAGATCTAGAATGCGACTCCTTTTTACAGCTTTTCTGTACTTAAATATACAGCATGCCCTTCCCTGGTGCTACGCTGAACTCTTAAGGACCAGAGCTGTAGGAGCACTTTGGAGTCTATTACTATGAAGCCCTTGCTGCTTGTCCAGGTGTGACTTCCCAATTGAGGAGTGATGGGTGTAACTCGTGCTTCACCCAAGCCTGCATACCTGCTGATGTCACTGTTCTAGACAAACCAAAGATAAAGAACAGTGGTAGAATCTGGGCTTCTTTCAGAAAGCGTTTATCCACATCCCTAGGTGGTTTTCTTTGGCTGGACTTCAGGGAGAAGGGGGAGAGTAGTACATTTAATCAATCAAGTACAGGTGTATTTGCCTTGAAATTCGGGGGAGAAAAAAAATCATTGGTTCTTAAAAACACTTAGAAGTCTAGTTAATCTTTTTTGAGGTTAAAATCTTCAGGGAATGTTATATTCCAGCTCCTAAGAAACAGAAACATTCTTTTCAGTTGTTGTTTTGCTTTTCAGTCCCCATAGTCAGTGTATTTCTTTCTGCTAACGTTTTGATCCAGCAAAACTTTAAAAAGCTAGGAAGCCATTTCCAGGCAGGAAGCCAGGATGGAGTTCTTTGGAGAAATAAGCCTTGTTAGTAACAGAATATTCCCCTTGCCAAACTTGGCCAGTAGCAACGAGTAAGTATGGCTTATGTTTTAATGCTTTGACAGTTTTGTTTTAAGAGCAGATTTTGAGCAATTCAAGCCTCTTGGGAGAGGTGTGTACTAGCTCTGAGTGCCATTGCATAAATGATATATATTCAAAGTAACTTGCATGGAGATGAAACACCCTGTTCAACCAGAGAAGCCTGATGGGCAAATGAGATGGGAAGATAGTGTATTGATAATGGCTTAATCTTGAGGAATGGGGCAAGGGGTTCATGAGAGCATTTATTGAAAGTTAAGCATGTAGTTGCACACTATCATGTCCAAAAAAAACCCTTTGTGGAAATCCCGTGATATCGTCATACTATCCAGTTCAGTCAACTGTGTTCAAAAGAAATTGCCTTTCTGTAGATCAAACTGCACAGTTTCTCAGTGTCCCCTGTGTTGGTGAGTATTTTCAATAAAGATGGTTTATGTAGCTATCACTATTACATGCTTTAGAAACCTGCATATACTGGTTTGAGAAGCTGAAAGATGGAAACATTCCTGAATTAAGGTGCCACCTAACACTTAGGAACTTTTTCCTTTTGGGAAAAAACTCCCCAGGGTGTGTCATTGATGTGGAGTAGAACTAAAACAGTTTTCCCTTAAGGGAAAAGTTAACTTACTTAGGACTCACTTGACATGCACACCCAATGGAAGTAAAGCTGTGTATACCTGACTGCAAGGTTTTATGGAGGCAAAGGAGCCTTCTCAGAAGTAGTGAGCTGCGTGCTACATTTAATGCCTCTTTAATCCCATTGTAAATCTCATGTTTTCTCCATTCAGTGTCATCCTGACTTTACACTGAGGTAGAGCTGGGACTCTGATGCCTTCACAAGGCAGATCTGGGTCAGAAGTCTCTAATGTGGTGCATGTGGCATTACCATCTACACAAAAATGATGAAACAAGAAAATGCCTTATTGTGGACACCTTTCACACAATTAGCATGTGGCTGTAAATGAGAAGTATTCGTTTTATAGCTCTAATGTTGTCTGTCCTACCATTTCTGAATGTTTCCATTTCAACATGACAATCCTCAATGACTGCTCTAGGCAGAGATGTTTTAGTAACAGACTTTTTGACCTAACAAGTTGAAGATATATGCACAAGAGTCACTATAAGATACCTTGTTTATATAGAATTGTACATAAGATTTTTTTGTGCAATAAAGTTTGTTTTGGCAGAATCTAAGCTGTTGTACTTCCATGGGACTAGCAACTCAGTTATGAAGCAAGGTAGTTTAAAAAGGTGTTGTGTAAATACTTCAGCAAAGCAGGGGCATTGCTTGCTTGTGTCCCCAGAAACTGAACTTCATTCCCATACTAACACTAGAGCTATACTTTTGCACCTCTTGATCTTCCACTTTAGAAGAGCAGCCCAAGAAGTCAGATTCATTTTCCTGTGAAAGGCAGTGTCCTTGCTGGTACGATTGAAAATGTGTCAATGGCAAGTTAAGAGTTAAAGCAGGTAACTGACATAAATCTGGATAGCTTTTTAAAGAGTTTATTTTTGCAGGTCAACTGTTCCTCTACTTCAGATACTTTCCCTACAGCATTGTCTGTGTATTAAGCAGCACAAGTTCTGAGAGCTCACTGTTTTCCACTCAGGAATCAAGGTATTGCCTCCTTGGCTTCCTCTGGCGTGATTTCCTGAGAGTAGAGCTCTGTAAAGAGAGCTGGTAACCAGTACTGGGATTCTTCTGGGGCTTGTGCATCAAGCCAGGCCATGCCTTCTTTCAGCAAGTGTTCCTGTCAAAATAGATTGTATGTAAGTTGTTCCCAGGAGCTGCCACTGAAACTTCACAAAACGTGCAAATGTCACTTGTGGTAGAGATTGGGCTCCACATTTATCTTGGGAAGGGTCAAGTGACTGAACCTACCACTACACTTAATCTAAGATGCACTTTAGTGGCCTCATTTGGCAGTCAAAAATAGTCCATGGGGTAGGCAGTTAATCCTTCTAATCCATCTCAACCACTGTCAGAGCCCTGTTATTAGCAATCATGAAACTGGCTATTCCTGTTAATTTCAAGGCTGCTACTAGAAGCAAGACTCCCAGAGTAGTCATTTAAGGAGCCTTAATGAGGTGTGAACAGCTGAGCAGAGGTTCTGGGTAACAGTATAAGTGAGCATTAATGAGGTGTGAAAAGCTTGAAGCAGACTACTCCTGAAAAAATTAGCAGCCATACTTATTCGCACCCTTAATATTAAAATGAATAGGATTTAGCAAGTAGTTAGTGCTATTTGCATGATTTAAGTGCCTGTATGCCTGCCTAACACCTTAAACAGCTCCTACAGTACCTTTCTTCATCCAATTCAGGCTGGTGTAACATGGTTCCAAGAACTGACCACCTGTATCCAACTGTGGCAAGCTAAATATCAAAACTGCTATACTGCCTGCTGCATCACTTGGATACAAAAGCCTCCAACTCGCCAAACACATCAAATAATTCATGTTTATTTAAGAGTTTTGTAGTAATATTTTAAGCAGGAACCTTCCTTCATGAGTAAATTTATACCTGCTTTAGCTCTATACTCAAAATACAGCCCACTATATTCGATCCTAGACATCCAGAATAAGGAGGGAGGCCAGGAGCAGGAAGAAAGAGTGTAAATAATTCACAATAGCCCCTGCTAGTTTCTTTTACGGCCATAGTTTACATACCATCTTCCACAGAACCCTGGGATTCTACAAAGAGGATGAAGCAATGGCAGAGCAGATTAGGAAGTGGTGTGCTGCCGTTGCTTGGCTCAATGTCAGTCTTTAGGATAGGGGGCTTCCACAGCAGAAGCAGAGCCAGATTTACACATAGGCAAACTAGGGAGCTGCATGGGGCCCCAGTCCTTCCCTCTGTGGCAGCGGCATGAATAGCCCTGTCCACTTCCCTTCTTTTTTCTTCTCCTTCCTTCTGCTAGCCTTGCCACCGCAGCTACTTCCTAGCTGCAGCTGTGAGCCCCACAGGCAGCAGCAGAGGGGTGAGGAGAGGAGTCTTGACTGGCCCATGGCCCAAGAGTTTGTTTGCCCAGGGCCCACTAAAAGGTTCATCTGGCTCTGGGCAGAAGTGATATGAAAGGGTTCTGTGACTTTAGGACATCTGAAAACCACTGCTCTAAGGAAAGGTAAGGGGTGCGTAAGGCATCTTATGGATGTGTAGATGTAAATTCAAGGCTTGCACCAAAGGTGGCCCGTTATACACCCAACACTACCTAGTAACTACGGCTGTGCAAAGCTTTGGTCCCTGATTTGATTCCACGGAGATTCAGCCCGATTCAGTGGCTGAATCTCTGAATCCAAACTGAATCGGGAGACCCTCTAATCTATCCAAATTGAACTGAAACCGTCCAAATCTATTCAGAGAGATTCAGACATAGACACAGCTTTAAATGTTTTTTCTACATACCTCTAGGTAGCAGGCAGCTTGTGAATGCTGCGATGGTGGGGCAGATGAAGCATTCCACAGGAGCACAGAGGGCTCCCCAGTGTGCTTGGCAGCAGACCCAGAAGCGGACCAGAAGCACTACCAGTTTGTTTCCAGGTCCGCTGGGGAGCACACTAGGGCTCCCCCCTCCCCGGGTTGGTGACTGGGTCTGGGGGGCCACCCTGGGTCCCCCCATGGCTGATTGCTGAGCTGGGGGGGTGAGGGGGGCACGGTAAGCCCGGAAGTGGACCAGAAGTACTTGCTGCAGCCCCCATGCTCCTGTGGGATGCTTCATCCGCCCCAGCATCACAGCATTCACAAGCCATGCCTGGTACCTCGAGGTATGTAGAAAAAACATTTAAAGCTGTGTCTATGGCTGAATTGCTGATTCTCTGAATCAGCATCAAATCTTCAGATTTGGATTCAGCCGAATTGAATTGGGGACAGTGATCTGAATCAAATCAGTCCCTGATTCAGGCTGAATCAGAAACAAATAGGGGCCGTTTCGCACACCCCTACTACTTACTCAGGCTGGGGAGTCAAGGACGGCTGAAAAGACCCTACCCGCATCACTTCTGTGCAGCACTGGCTTCTGAAACTAGTGTGGCTTTAATCACTCTAAGGCAACATGTACCTAAGCTCATGGAAACCTTGAGTCTTGTCTGCAGTGTTGATCCTACTGGGGTGAAGAATTCACCTCCTTTATGACTGTTTCAATCTTGCAGCAAAGGTGGGACTACACTAGCTTTATCTTTCTGCCATTGTGGAAGATCTAGTTCTGATTTAGGTGTTGTCTGCAGCATTGGTGCAGGGGTGGGGGGGGTAGGTGTCAACCTTTTTGGCAGGGGTGCCATGAATTAGCTTTGTACCCTCCCCAAATGCCACTCTGCCCTCCTTCCCATGCCTGATCTGCTTCTCTGCTTTCTGACTTGTATTCCCTGCCTGATCCAATGATAGGTTTTCTGCTCCTTTCTGTATCTGTCACTTGTGCTGCCTGTCCCCTCTCTGATTTGATGCATGCCACTTGTACTTCTCTACTTGGCTACCTCTAGTCCAAAGCTCGTATAAAGATATCTAAGATAGCTTTAATCTACGCCATTTGTAATGATAGGAGTTAAACTATCGTAGTACTTCAATATATATCCAGGGCCTGGGTTTTTTCAGCCTGCGCGGCTACCCTGCTACTGGTGCCCCTGCTGGCTCAACTACATCTGCTTGTGCTGTAGCAGCACCCTGTAATTGTAGTCACAACCTCAATTTGGAGGTGATCGCAGTCACCCTGTATTGTCACTTGACCAAACAGTGCACAAATAAAAGTCTACATACTTACCAGCACCTGTTTGGCTCGTTCCACCTCCCATTTCAAACTGGATCTGATCTCACTGACTGTTACATACCCCTTTTTCTGAAATAAAGGAGAGGAAAAAGGGAGTCAGAGCCTGTTCATGTCAAGGCAGCTGTTTAAAGACAGAACAAGCTCCTCGCTATCTGCTAATGATCAGGACTTAAGAGTCCATAGTTGGAGACACTGACTATATATTTAAATGCTCTTTATTTTCCACACATGTTGAAACCTTGATTTTTGTTCAGGTTATAATTTAGATTCTTCATACATCTGTTTCTTGTCAAGGGAACAATATGGCCTTATAGGAGGTTTCTACTAAAGAATCCCTTGCCCCCAATACCTCTGCCAGCTGCAGAACCACTGTATGATCCATGTTCAGTTCAGCTGGCACAGACTGGATTAGGCATGTTCCTCCAACAGGAATAATCCCAAAGCCACTGCCCAGAACTTTCAGTTTCTTGATTGCACGAATGAGATCATCCCTGAGAACAGGGAAGAGAAAATAAGGTTTGAAAGAAAGCCTTTTGCTCTTCAGCTGAGCTTGATGCCAATATACCATATTTACTCAATGTAAGATGACCCCTCTACCCATCATAAGATTTGCCTTGAATTTGTCTCCCTCCCACTGCAACAACAGAGAAAATAAATAGCACGGGGGGGGGGGGGTAAAACCCTTGGCCTCTGCCTCCCCACTCCTCCCCTGCAACTCTTCCCCCCCTCTGTGTCATCATATCCTGCTCTCCTTGAGCACATGAAAGTGAAGAACAAATCTAAAAACACCAGCTTTGAAATAAATAGCTGTAGCAATTTGCATGTAGTGTACCCACAGGTTTAGTTTCTCTAGAATTGATGCATGTTACCTTTTTTGAAACTGCTGCAAATGTTATCACAGATACTCCATAAACAAACTTTTAAGAAACACTTTGGAATATATCTATTCCCATATATATTGCAGTACTTCAACTGAACTGTCCTGTGGCTGCTATGGTTCACCTGACAGTCCAAAGCACATCACTGCCATTACATTGTACACATTCCTGTCACAGTATCTGCAGTGTACCCACAGTCCCATGTGTCCACACACCTGTGTGACCACCACCAACTATGCATGATAAGTCCAAAGCCAAAGGGCTCATGATTTAACCACATAGGTCATTGAGCTGGGCTCCAGCAGACTCAACAGCATTTCAAACCCTGGTGATCCCAGAGCCCAGCACTGCTCAGTGTGTGCGCGCTCTAGATACCCTCCCCACAAAGGATGTGTGTGTGAATTAGCCCCACACTCATGACTGGAACTGGGTGTTCTTGTCATAAATCCTGGAATCCTCCAAAAAATTACATGCAATTAAGGTGCAAGGCAACCTGGTCCAGCTGCACCTCATGGAGGGTAGGGCCACACTTATCAGGCTGAGAGAGGAGGCAACATAGGGATTCTGGGTGAACTGTTTGGGGCCCCCTTTGGTGACGTTTGCCAGGCATTTACAGCTAGTGAAGAAACACGAATCACTGGAAATGGTAAGAAAGGTGCAGCTCAGCTGTGGGAGTGAAAAGAAAGTCAAAACATATGCAGTGTAGTGGCTCAACATGCCTTGAAAAAGTCAGTGATGAGGGGGGATTGCACTCACTTGGTACCACCACGCACATACTACTCAAATGGATCACACTAACTTACCATTGTAGTAGGATGCCTGCCATGGATTTGAGAGTACCTGAAGCCCCAGGATGCTTGGTGGTAGTGCCACACAGACTTGAATGAGCGAGCTCTGCTCAGTCAATACAATTTGGAACTGATTTGGCCCAAGAGTTTTTAAATTCCGTAAGTGTTAAGTGCCCATCACCCTGTTTAGCACTAGGGGAGGGTGTCAGGCCTTGCTCTGGCCTCTCAAGAGTGGTGCAGTACCTCTAGGTCTGGTACTCATTCCCTCTTGGGGAAGCAACTACCTGTTTTGTTTTGTTTTGTTTTGTTTTAAGAGCTACAAAAAATGCCTATTGTTTCTCAGCCTTTTGAGCTAAGATCAAGTGAGACTGGGGGCATCTGAAACCCAAAGCCTCTGGAGCTGGGGCTTGCACATAGGATGCCTGCCTGGATTTGAGGAGTATCCCATTGGTGTGGGAGGGAGAATACCTGCACAGTGGCAGAGCCATGAATTAGAGCCATAGACTTGAAGACTAGACTTCATAGTTGGTTTTTACTACTGTGCACATGATACTTGTGGCAGCAGTTTAATAGATAATGTTTTTAATGAAATTTCCTTGTGTATGAATATTAGGTAAGGAGCTTTTTTCCTCCATGCTGAGTGGAGGGGGAAAAACCTTGTCCTATTTTTGAGTAAATACAGTATTCTTGTTTACTAGAACAGCTGCAAGCATCAACATAAACTCTGAAATGCATAAGTCATCCATGAACACATGTTCCTAGGAAATTATCTTGACTGTCCCTTTAAACAGCTACCAGTGAACACATAGAACGTAAAAGAGCTAAAAATAGTTCCCTAAAGTGATTTAAAAATCAGCTGTGTTGCCTGTTCATATCCACCCTGCTTGAGTGATTGAGTGCACTTATGTTATCCACAAATACTGATTCTCTTCACCAGTTCGAGTGGTCATGCAAATCTATTTTGATATCACAGTCCTGAGAGAAGGGGAAAACGGGCAGGAATGCTGTTGGGTTCCTCCTTACAGCCCCAGATGCCCTGGCAAAAGCAAGAGTCCAGTGGTGGAAGACCTAAAGCGACAAACGGAGTGGTTTCTGCAGCTAGGTATTTTGTCCTGAGTTAATCAAATCCAAGACATTGAGCCCTTATGGCTGAAGCCCAGGCATCGACAAAGCTTGCATGAAGGACGTAGAGGAGAGAGATTAAAAACTTTTAACTGCAGGAGACATGAGTTACAAACCAGGCATTGCTTGTAATGGAGCTGCTTTTTGTGGCTCCACTTCACAAGTCTAAGTCAGTTTAGGGATTCCATTAAGAGCAGAACTTTTAGGTTCCTACTAAGAGAAGCTTTTGGGGGATCTATACTCACTGGCTGACATCCTGAGCAAACTTCCCCCTTCCCTTCAGCACTTGCTGATGAAGCTCTTCCAGTGTTATGAGACCTAGACAGAACAGGGGAGGTGATGTTACTACACAGCAAAGGAAGGTTCCTCCCATAGGCAGTCCTATTACTTGAATTTCCTTTCTGTGTTTGGCATTAAACTGCACATCCCTTGTATTTTACATCATTTTAATCTATAGCTCCATGTGTTTTTCACTGCATTCAAATTCTCAGTTCTGGGTAGATCTGAATTCCTAGAATGCAAGTGCTTGTAGAGTTCACCACTACCTTCTCTCACTGAGGTATCAGACTCACTTTTATTACAGCGCATATATATTTCTCATCAATAGTTGGATGGTACTATCTATAAATGTTTTGGGGTAGGGACTGTCTTTTGACAGGGCCTGGCACACTGGTGTCCTGGTCCAGAACCCACTAGCGGTGCTACTGCATTACAATCAACAGATACCACACCCAGGATATTAATTTCCAATAATACCCTCATAGTAAGACCCTCACTCCAGAAGTATTTCTAGATCAAACCCTCCTTATTAATGATATCCTGAGCAATATGAAAGTTTTTAAAAGCAAGGGTTCTGTCAGGTTGTTAGGTACAGTACCCCCAAAATAACTGAGTACCTTTATATACCCAATAACAAGAGAGTCCTCTGTCTAAAAAGAGAATTACAGATCCCTTGCTATGAAATACAGTATTGGTACAGATTCACCGAAGTATGACCGGCTTCCTTGTGGCACCAGCAGGCATTGTCTTCACTGCCAGAATAGGAAAGAAATGATTGATTGGCTCACAATTTTTATAGTAAGACGGCTGATGCACACTGGTAGTTTCACTAGAATCCCAAGAGAGACATGGCACAGGGGTCTGTTACTGCACTGTAGGGAGACAAGGTCAACATCTTCTACCACACCTACTTACATCAACAGTAGTCTCCAACAGATTGTAGCTAACCCATGTTATCTTGCCAGAAAAAGGCATTTAGAGCAGTGAATATAACAGCTTCTAAAACAGCCACTACCCGGCGGTTTTGGAAACCTCATACAGAGCCATTAGAAGGTAGTCAAGAGCAACAGTTTCAAGAAATGAAGCCAGCTCCTGTAACCATCCACCTAGTGGAAGCCAGTATTTGCTCAATGCAGCGTAGGGTCCTCACCTCCATTTCTGTGCTTTAGAGCTAGACAGACCTCAATAATCTGAACGCCCAACTCATAGTAAAAGTCTCCAACTCCCAGCATCTCTGACCAGAAGCCTTTTCCAGCTGTGAAGGAAGAAGGGGGGAGGAGGGATGAAAGAAAGGGATCAGATTAGTTGTCTCCATTAATACCCTTCACAGAGAATTAATTACATGAGTATAGCTACTGAGTCCTAAACACCACACTCTGAATTGTTTCAGGGCTGGGCCTTGTGACAAGGTAAAGGAGCAGCTCAGACAGGGGTAAGAGATCCATAAGACCTATCACTTGGCTGGATATTATAGGTGAGGGTAAGGGAAGATGAACCCAAGGGGAAAGGAGTTTTTCTATTTTCCACTGGCTGCTGGTAGCCAGAAAGAAGCCCCTAAGAAAGGACATGGCAATATTTTCCTTCAGGGAGGCCAAAATGACCCAACTTAGGTCCAGGCCATTAGTCCTCCTGCCTGCAACCCAGCTACCACTGCCATTTCTCCTTTCTGCTCAGCTACTATCCAGCAAAAAGCAGAAGCCACCTGTTCTCCACTGCAGCCTGTGCTGCTCAAGTGTGGTGTGGCAGGAGCCCCAGGCTGACTGCAGCTTGGGAAGAGTTTGGGGACTCTCTCATGGGGAGAGAGTTTCCTACCACCAAAGCCACAGCCTTGCAGGCCAAATCCAACAGTTACTGACCCCTACTCTAAGGAATTTAAGATCTGTCAATTAACTTTAATTCGGTTTACTTACTATAAATTTTGTATGAAAGACAAGAGCCACCCCAAGGGCAAGCAAGGCGACTATGGCATTTCCTTCCTTGAATTCATGTAACAGCCTGACAACTTATGAACACAGGAACCCCTTCTGTCACCCCTCCTCTGGCACAACCCCCAGCAGCTCCAAGGAGGTTTTTACTGGGCACATCTACATGAGCAGTAGTCTAATAACACAGTGAAGTAGCATGCCTGTCAAAAACCAAGCTAATACATAACTGTGCAGTGTTATTAGGCTACTGCACAGTAAGCATCACTAAAAAGCCATGTGTCAGTAACTCGCACTACTGTGCAGTAGTACTGCACATTGAATTAGTACTTGGTTAATCAAATACTAAAACTTAACGCACAGTAACTAGGGCACATTAATGAATGTGTAGATGTCCCTGGAAAAGTGGTTGGTCCCTAAACCAAAGGGTGTTCTGGACTGAATCCCTGCACAACCTAATCCTTACATGCCAATGGATCCACCCCAATCGTTGCACACATGTCCTGGAACTGGACTCGAAATTGGGGATTTTTACGAATCTCTTGCTTGTGTTTGCTAGCGAACTCTTCTAAGTTAGTCTTAAACATGTCCAGTTGTTTAGACATCTGTAAAAGACAAGTAAACAGTATGACTGGACAATCATTTTCTATACATATGTACACACATACCCCCACACCTCCCCCCAACCATCACAATGCCTTACTTAGGCAATTCACCACAGGGGTCTTAAACAGGGTGACCATACATCATAATTTACTGGGTCAGTCATGGATTTCAGAGGCCAGTCCTGGCCAGCTGCTGAGAATGAGAATGGGCATCCTGGACTGTAGGGGTGCAGGTCACAGCCTGGCCAGGAGCTGCACTGGTGCAGAGCTCCTTGCAGGCAGGGTGGGGGAGGGGGGGGGGCAGGGAATCAGATTAATTTGTCTCAATTAATACCCTTCATGGAGTATTGCTGATTAGGGATCGTACAGCTGCCTGCCCAGCACACCACCCTGCCCCCACTGACTTGTGAGAGAGTGTGAGGGGAAGGGGACAAGAGTCTCAGATGAGCATCCTGGACTTCCTTATGGTCAGCCCAGTCTTAAATGAAGGACGTGACCATAACAAACTACTTGGGAGAGAAACACAACCGGAAGTCAGGCAATATGTTACTTGGTGGTGTGCAGGGCAGAAGGAAGCCGTTTTAGGCACAGAAGATGCTAAAAAAGGTCCTGAGCAAGAGGCGGATTTGCCGTCAGCAACTCATAGACCTCCACTCTAGGAGCTGGTGAAGCTGACAAGTACGGTGACCAGACCTACCCCCCCCATCACCAACCCAAGCCACAACCAGAGATACCCCCACCTGGCACAGCCCACCTCCTCCAAGCAACATCCCCTCCTCCCACCCTCACCAGACACAGCAGGGTCTCACCTGCGCCAGCTGGTCTTCCGCCAGAACCGTCCCACGCTCCTTGTATTTGGCCTGGAAGAGAACAAAGACGATCTGGAGTAAGGGTTATTTAATTGAGACGATTCACTGCCGGGAGATCCCCCCGCCTGGAGCAGGCTGTTCACCTGCAGGAGCTCCCCCTGCCCCACCCCTGTTTTACTCTAGACGGCTCATTTTGCCCGCTTGCCAGGGGCCGGGAATCAGGCGGCCCTGCCGGTGGCCACCGAGAACGCTTCGGGGGCTCGAGTAGCGGCTGGGAGGGGGCAGAGCAGGGCCGGGCGCCGCGCTGTGGGCTGTGACTTGAGGCGGTGAAGAACGGGTGGGCACAGCTGGGCCTGGGGCGGCTCCAGGGGGCAGGGAGGGGCCGCCACTCCCACCTCCGCCAGCTTCTTCTTGGCGATGGCACCTGCGCCCACCCCGCGCCTGTGCATCCCGGCGGCTCACGGCACCCCGGCCGAACGCGGCCGGCACTGACGTCATCTCCACGCGACGGGAAGTGGCCGTAAACCTCCAGAAGCCTCGCCGCCCCTTTTTCTCTCCCTCAGGCAGGGGCGGGGCCAGCGCTCACCTGGCCGAGTTTTTCTGAGGGGGTAGTCTGGCCAGGCACCCACACTTGAGCCCCTGCAGCTGGGGAGCTCCAGTCGCGTCCCCAAAACCCTGGGAGACGGCTCCTCCAGCTGCAGAGAGGGGGTGACCATTACAGGAGCCCCTCCGTTGCAGCTGCCCTGCGGCCCCTTCCCTTGCCTCCAAGCCCCTCTGCTTTGCTTCGCCCCGTGCTCTCCCTCAGCCCTTAGGTCTAGGGCGGCGAACATAGAGGACAGTCCGGTTGTCCTCTGTCCTCTATTGATACGAAACTGGACGCCTTTATGTTCTCTATTTTTCTGGTGAAGAGCAAAATAGAGGACATAAAGGCATCGGGTTTCATATCAACAGAGGACAGAGTAGCAGAAAACTGGAACATCTTTTATGATGGCCACCCTGCTTGGGTTCCCATGCCTGGGGAAGGAGGGAGCCCCCCCCCACATCCCAAAGGGCTGGGTCTCTGCATGCGCCCAGCCACAGATGTCTCCCCACCCCTCTTTCAAATCAGCGCCTGCTCAGTAAGGATGCAATCCCTCCATGCATCCAGCCATGAGCACTGGGTAGTCCTTTCAAAGTCACCAGGTCTGGCCATCTGGTTGCCCCTGTGACACCGCCCTTTAGTGATGAAAGGGGACAGGAGGGAGTGGGGTCAGAGAAGATGAGATTCTGCCACTGATGCTTTTTATTCCAAAGAATGTTAGGATTTTATGCAGTGGATTCACCTTAATCTGAAGCTGCTCCATTCTCATCTCAGCACGTGCAAAACTTACAGATTGTTCACGCCTCATGGAGAGATTTGTGGCCTTTGTGGGAGAGTCCCTGCCTGCTAAATTTTAAAACTAAGACCTTTGCAAGCTTTATACATCCAACCAGTGCTACTCTGTACAGGGGCAGCACTCCAAACCATCCAGGGCTCCCTTTCATTCAGCAAGGTGGGAGGGACAGCACCCAAACACTTGTTTGCAAAGCCCCTGCAGAGAATTGCATATTAAAGGTATGAGGGGAACAGGACACACCTGGGTTTCTAGGCATATACATCCAGACTTGCCAAGCCTGGCCCAAACATCCACACTGCAGTCACAAGTGACTTATAACCATGTAGCTGCATCAGCAATGGTATTGCAGTTACCTGGGGTTGGTGGTAAGATTTCCAGGGGCATATCCAGGTATCCAGGGCTGTTAGGACCTCAGTAATTTTCACCAGTGTAAGTATTAGTTCACAATCTGTTGGGGGGGGGGGGGAAGGGTTGCTCCAGCTTGAGGTTGGGCTGACATTATTGCAGCAATATAGAGACCAAAATTATGGGAGACAGTGGAAAGTATTTCAATGGCCATTTTATACTCCAAAAGGCAGTGGCAGATCTTAGAGCTGGAGGGGGTTAATTTACACTTGATGGTAACGTGTAGGGTAGAGACATCAGGGGCAGAATTTCTATATTTATTTCAATGGACAACCAAAGGGCAGATTGTGCCCACCTCTGATTTACCCAACTAAAGCATAGAAGCAATTTTGTTGCCCCATCTGGGTGTGTGTCACTATTATAGGAATAGGATTGCCCTCCAGACATGCAGATGCCTTCTTATCTCCATAATGCACCCAGAAAAGGTAACAGAATCTCTCCTACAGTTTAGTCAGGTAAGGAAGAGGTGTTTGCAGGCTGCACTTTGGTTGTTCACTAGGTGAAATAAAATTCTTCCCCTAATGCTTACAGTAATCACTGATGAATCAGTGGAGGACAATGAGCTGAGTGGCGGAATCAGAACAGTATGGGGACACAGGGTGACCAGCAGTGGCTTTAGAACCTGCACCTGGTGAAGTAGGTCTTCATGGAAGGCTGCCTGAAGAGTTTACCTCAACCATTCAATGTCAGAACACTCAAATGAGGGAGGGAGGCAGTGTCAGTTGAGAAGCAAGTTGCTATTGCTATCTTGGAGCTGGTTACCATGGAATGCTATTGGTCCATGTTTAAGCAGTCCCATTAGTTATTCTCAGTCAGGAAGCCATGGCACCCTGTGGTGTTTTGAGATCTTTTCAAGGGTGCAGTGGAGTGCCACACAATGTTAGCACTGTTAGGTATGTACATGTGAATCATGAGATAAACACAGAGATTTCAAATAGGAATCCAAAATGGTAAAAAATTCAGACCTGTTGTGGTCTTTCTGAGTTCTTTGCAACAGAAAAAATTGCTCTACTATTTTTTTTTTTTTTGTAGTCGGAGAACATGAAAACTAAGAGCTAGTATTTTCTAGGGGTGCCTTGAATTTATCGAGGGGTGCATTAAGTCTAAAAACATTGAGAACCACTGGTCTGGTGCAACAAGTCAGGAGTTATATTTTATGGATGTACTGCTTGGAAGGGATTAATAATGTGCTTTGCCCAGGGGAGAGTGAACATAACTAATGTGCCTGAAATAAATGCTAGGCTTGAGAGAATGAGCTTCCCAAACTCTGCTGGGGCTATCAATAGCACTAACATGCCTAGAGTTTGCCTAGTGCAAGGGGCACAGGTATGTGTCAGCTGTAAAGGAGACCCATTGATAAGAGACTTTATTGAAACAAGTGTTTTCAGGCATCTCATTATCATACCATTCATTGAGACTACAAGCATGTTCTGGGAATAGAGCATGTGAGTGCTATAGGGAAAAGTCTAACACTTCCCTTTACTAAGGCAAATTCAGGTGTAGGTCAGGCAGATAACATAATAGCTACCTATGCTTGCCCTGAATCCTCACAAATACCACTCAGGCAACCCTGGATATGCTAGCTATTGCCACTCGGTCACCGGTGGCCTGAGCATTCCTTCTGGGACACTACCTTCACTCATCCCCACTAAGCTGCAGAGTCCGCTGCTTTGTAGACTGCTGACAATTCCCAAACCAAGAACTGTGCCCCCACCTCCCATGCACAAATACTGACACAGCTTGCAGAATACAGTGCTGAAATGAGGCATTGTTGATCCATAAAAGTACACTGCATCTCTTTGCATACCATGGCCAAGTGCTGCCAGGCCACCAAAATCTAATCCTTTGAACTATACCACCTAACTCCATTTACACAGAATAAGGACAGCTAAGGGCACATCAGTAGATGCTGGAATCTCTCTCTGTGGGCATGTCTACATGTTCATTAGTGTGCCGTAGTTGCTGCACATTATGTTTAGTACCTGTAATAGTACGTACTAACTCAATGTACAGTAACAATCGCTAGTGTGCAGTAGTGCCAATGCACATCTTTTTAATGTCGCTAATGCACAGTAGACGAATTCTGCTGCACATTAGCCCATTAGCACGACTTTTGCTGTGATGTGCTAATACGCTGTGGAATTAGTCTACTGCACATTTAGCATCTTATGTAGATGCACCCTATGGGACACAAAACAAACAAGGGCATGTTCTCCCAGGCTGTCCTCAGATCTGCTTTTTGTAGATTAATGCTTCAAGGCCAAGTAGATCTTTTAGTCCACATAGTACAGGCCAGAGACTTTTACCTACTTACTTACCACGCCCAGTCACAGAAATGCATCAAGCCTTGACCTGAAGAATTCAATAGATGGAGAATCAATCACTTCCTCCGGTAGGTTATTACTGTCATCTTTGCAACACCTTTCCCAAACCATTTTTATTGGATTTTGCCTGCTCTAAGAAGGGCATAATTCAGTTACGTTCTGAGGATGGCATTACCTTTATGATTCTTCATACCCTGAAAACATGAATAAGTAATAGGCAGGGCAATAGTGTCTTTTCATGGTATGAACTAAGCACTAGACTGAACACAGAGCTGGTTAAAGGGACCATTCCTTTGGATCTACAGTCAGTTAAGGGGGTGGCCCCTGGAAGAAACTCAGTTGATGGGAGTAAGAACCAAATTGTGCAGAGAGACTAAATACAAATGGAGTCCTTCTGGTGCTGTGGGATAAATAAAAAATGCCGGGAGGTTCAACGTGACAGAGGGGTATGAAACAAGAGAGCCAATGGAGGCAGCAGAAAGTGAATCTTGCGGCATGCATACTGATCCTGTAAGAACAAATAGGTATCACTAGAGGCCCTGGGAACTTCAGGCATCAGTTTAACCACAGAACAGCACAGAGAACAGAGTTATGTGAGCTGTTTACACCTTGTAGCAGGTTGTTTCAGGGATACACTGTAAGCTATTTCTTTAGGACTGACAAGGCCATTCTGTGTCTTGTCAGTCCCAGACCTTTCTTCTAAGTCACCCAGCAAAGGCAAAAATGAACACTGGGGTATTGTTTGTTTGCCTGCTTCAAAAATGTGCTGTGAACACACATTAACTGCGAAATGACCTAAGGTCGTGTTATCCAGGCCACACATCTGCCAGCAGACATGTATAATGAAGACGTCTTTCCAAGCTGCACTTCACGCTCTTTAGGGGGGCTGGATTCTGGGTCTAACTTCATAGGGTAATTGCATTAACTTAAGCAAAGTTCCACTTAGTGATGTTCATTACTTTTTGTATCAACTCCCCCTCTTGTGGTGAGCTAAAATCCTGAAATGACTAAGGCATGAATTCAGCAAAGCACTTAAGCCTGGGACTTACGTTCTTTGCTGAATCAGGGCCTAGACAGTTGCAGACAACAGCTTTTTATTCTGCAATGAACTTTAAAAAAACCACCAGGGTTTATTTTTTGATGGACTTTTCACCTTGGCACTATCTGGCTATAACTGTCAGGATAATATGCAATGTATTTTGAGTGTGTGTGTATGAGAAAGTCCTAGAACACAGGCAAGATGGACAGTTTTGTGATTAAGGTGCAGGACTGAATATAGGGAAGACCTTTGTTCTATTTTTTTTACTCTCCCTTGGATTTGCTTAGTGAATCTTCTTACAGTCAGATTATGGAGTAAGGTCAGCCATCACCACCAGGGCTTGATTTTCAGAAGAATTTGGTTGCCAAGCACTTCTGAAAATCTGGTTCTTAAATCTGAGCTCTTTAAAAAAATAAAAATAAATCAGCCCCTAATTGTTTCATAGTTTCATAGTTTCTAGGGTCGGAAGGGACCTGAGCAGATCATCTAGTCTGACCCCCTGCCATGGCAGGAAGAGCACTGGGGTCAAATTACCGCAGTAAGGTGGTCATCCAACCTCCTCTTAAAAACCCCCAGGGTGGGAGCCTGCACCACCTCACTTGGAAGCTGGTTCCAGACCCTAGCCGCCCTGACTGTGAAGTAGCGCCTCCTGATGTCCAACTTAAACCTTCCCTCCGCCAGCTTGTGACCGTTGTTCCTGGTCACTCCTTGCGGCGCTCAGGGGAACAGGGACTCCCCCAGCACCTGCTGATTCCCCCTAACCAGTTTATAACAGGCCACAAGATCCCCCCTCAGCCTTCTCTTTTGAAGGCTGAACAGGTTCAGGTCC